AATTAAAACAAAATTATCTAAATAACAATATACAAAAAAACAAAATAAATTGCAACTATATTTTTAGTTGCCCTATATAACAGAAAAAACAGATATTTTAGGATAATGAAAAACAAATGAATAGCAATTTCTATAATTAGCATGTATTGTATATAACTATTTAACAATATCTATAACAAGTATATTTATAGAACAGATTTTTCTGGCAAATAAAACTTTAATTATAAAAAAAGAAAATCAATTGCTAAGTAAAATAGCAAGAGCATATATAATGATTATTTATAATTTAATAAATAATGGTACCAGTTTGACTGTGAGAAAAAAAAAATGTTATTTATCTATCTTAGTCAAAAATATTTACTTATAATGAATCCAAGATTCTAATAAAGCTTGAAAAATGTATTCACTAGTAGTTTATTTTCTAGAGTCTTGAATCCAGAATAATTTTTCAATAAATTTTTCTTTCCAGTAAGGTGTTCTTGCCATGGATCAAATAAATGAGACTTTGAATATTTTGTTGTTAAAACATCCAAAGGAAAGGCAAACAAGTGAAAAACACTTTTGCCTTCAGAAATAGAAGTTAAATAATGTTCAATATAATATAGAAATCTTATAAGTCATGGATATGTGACTTATCAATCTAATGCTCTACAGGTTTTAAATCTGTTCCATAATACTAGTATTATGCAGACCTTGAACCAGTACACCTGTTTCTTCGGAAACTGAAATTTGTATTACTCTCTAAATACAGATTTCATCTTTTCAAAAGCGTGGAATATTGGGTGCGCGACCTCCACGAACATAATTTGTCAAATCCATGTATGGCATAACCTGAATTGAAATTCGAATGCTTCTTACATAGGGGCCCCATTTGGAGCGGTACCGCGTGCCCACTGTAATTGCCTGATTTGAGTTACAGCATTTAATGCAATTTGAAGACGACAGCCACGCCTGTGGCGAAAAACGCTATATTGAATTCGAACAAAGTCAACCCCCTGAAGTATGTCCACGACTTGTCTATAATGTTGGGAACTCGAACCAAAGGAAGCAGTCAGTGCCGTTGCACCTAAGTCATACTGTACTATCCAATTTCCATAGCGAAAAAGGGCTTCATGTACTGTAGCCATAATTTAATTGTGTTATCTTTGTATATGTTACAATCTTTAGTCACGAAAAGGAGC